CCAAGTGAAGAAAATTTCGTTGCCTCTCTCGCGGATCCTGCACAGGCGAGTCTGCGTGGGCAGCCCAGCCCCGGGGGCAGCGCCCTCCTGCAGCTGGGCCGGGTGAAGGAGATGTTACGCGTGTTTGCGCTGAAATTGAGGAGGCAGCAGTGACTTGAGACTCCCTACATCCAGCTGAGAATGTCTCTGCTCCATCCTGCCGCCCGGTTTCTCCGCACACACCTTTCGCCCCCGAGCCCCGCTGTTGATTTGATACCTCTTGAAAATCTTATTATATTTACCTGCAAGGGTTTGCTAAAAAAAAAAAAAAAAAAAAAAAAAAAAAAAAAAGGCGGGGGTGTGGTGCTAATGCCAGAATCTGACTGCACAGCACCTGGGAGCCATCTCCCACCTTGGCACCCAGCCGGTGGGGGTGAGGTGGGGGGAGAGAGAAGCCCGACCAGCTCAGTGCCCGGGTTAATTAAATGTGCAGCCCTTCGTGAGGGGCCTACGATGTGAAGACAGACTGGCTGAAGACAGTTTCTGCTTTTGAAGGGTGCTCTGTTTATGTAAGTGTCAGCATCCATCCCGAGGTGAAAAGGTTAGCACTTGACCCAGGAAGTTCTCCTGTTTGTGCTTCAGAAATAGATCGGGGTCATAAATTCCTCCCAGTTACGGAGGAGGGAGAGGAGGGCCTTATATTTTCTAAAAATAATATTATTTGAGCATAGGAAAGGAAGAAGCTTTGTGTTACAAGCCAGGCTGGGCAGCCAGAGCTCTGACCCTGGCAAAACAAGGCATGAGGAGTAATACTTAAAGGCTCTTCCTCCCTTTCCTCCTTGGAAAGGCCCTGGCAGCAGAAAATAAGGGAAAACAAACTGCTGAATACAGCCTGTGACTCAGCGCTGACGTCACACAGAGGTAGGCAGACAAGAGCTACCTGAAAGTGGAATATATTTATTACAGACATTATAAGGACCCGTAAATCCTGCCCTGGCTTCCATCACCGGCGGAATCCCAGAGCCTTTAATGATTGTACAGAAAATCAGGAGGACATTTCGCTCACACACGACAACTGATAGAACTCAGTGTACCCGCAGTACAGCAAAGCACGTTGCTTCATGCAATGGTCCAGACACCAATCACAGAAATGATACATTCATTTGGCCATTCGTCACATTCACGAGTAGGCTGAAAACACATCGAGTCTAAAGGAAGGTTAATATGAAAACAGGAAGAGGTGAGGTCGTTGGACAGTTACACCCTTCGGTTGAGTATAATCCAGCACAGC